TCACGAGTGGAAATACTCCAAATGGTTCTCATTCTTTTGACTTTTAAACCTTTGGAAATTTGAAATTTACCTTTGTGTCTCATTTAATTTGCTAATTATTGTGTTATTAAGAACAGATAATTTAGGATGGATAATTGTTATGCTATCGGTGGAAAGTAATTTAAGGAAGTAGAGCAGCTTAGCATTTATTAATTCAAAATAAAATTCATTTTAAGTTGAATTGCTGTGAGAAAATAATTAACGGATTGGATATCAAATATGAAAAGCATCGGTATCAAAGTTCACCATCGGTTGCACTTAACTAAATGTAGTTTTAAGTCGTCCATTTATTTCAGATCTTATCAACATGGATTTTACAAGATTGATTATTGATGTGAATTTTGTTTGATTTGAGAGAGTTTTTGTTTTGGCACAGCCAAGTGTTTAGTGAAGACTTTCTTTTTCAAAAAAGGTTTCTTCGATGTTGTAGGAGAATTCTCCACTGATCACGTTGGGAGTTTCTCAATTCATTGATCTGTGAGGAATTCACTTAGACGTAGTTAATAGTGGTGTAGAATAACACCGAAATAGGTTAATTTTATAATAGAATGAGAGTGGCTGAAGTGGAAGAGGTGAAGTTTTAACGATCCTCTTTTCTTCCTATTTAACTCTGAGCCATTTACAACATATATTCTGTAAAATGCTATTGGATACAAGTATAGGTATATTAAGGCAAAGAAAAGAAAGGCTCCTCCATGTGAATTGGTTTGTAGTAATTTAACCATTAAAGATAAGCATGCAATTAAAAGAGGGATGAGAAATTAGCTAAATGATCAATTACATTAGACATTGTAACATTCATCAATTACAATTTATGCGATGAGTCACTTACGTGAAAGATGCTTCTAATGCACAAATTATTTTTATTATATTTGTTATAAATGTTATAGGATCATAGTTATAGGATTCTCATAGTATTGGGAGATGAGTGCCTGTTACATTAAACTATTCCTTTTGGAAATTCATATGAAATGAGAAACTCGACGTTCGTTTGAGATGATTCCTTTTAATTTAGTATTAACAATTATCATCCAAATAAGTAGCAACAATATACAGATAATATGATTATCTTGGAGTTTCATTTTGTTTTCTGGATATTACCAAAAGAAGGATGGACGTTTTTGAAAAGCAATAAGCTATTAGGTTTTATCAGAGATAAATTTTGTTCTTTTGTCAGAGATAGAGCACCGTCCATTTTCAATTTTTTGAACTTTTTCATAACACCCAAAAATGGCAAAATTGGTCAGAAACTTAATTGTAATGTTGAATGAAAATCTGAAATGCAATGGATGAAATTAAATTTTCAAATGATGTCATATTATTTTCACAGATCAAATCAATTAGATGCCAATATGAATGCCCATTTTAACTTTTTTCATGACAAAGTACACATTCTTTCAGTCAAACAGAAAAGAAATCAAATTAGAAAAGAAAAACGATAAAACTGCAAGGGATATTTCGTTATTTTTAATAATCTCAATTATTGAAATCCTTTTTCTTTTGGTATTCCGCAGATTTTCTACCGATTCCACATCAGCATCTCATCAAAACCAATTTCATTACTTAATGTTACTGATTTGGACCGTACATGATTCTGATTTCCAGCAAGGCTAGACTAGCTTCCGGACGACAGTGGATGATCCAATTTTCTACTACTAATCCTCTATGCTGCAATGAATTGCTATTTCCCATATTCAGAAAGTTGAAAATGAGCTTCTGCTCAGATTACAGAAGTCAAGATTGAGCAATTCAAAGTTTTTCAGAATTTCTTGCAAAATAACTGCAAATGACCGGTACTAATGATATGTCACTTATGTTATTTGAAGATTTCAAACCTGCTCTTCCATCCATCCTTCCGGATTGCTCCATCAATCATTGATCTCCTGTCAATCAACAGAATCTTCTTTCCATTCACTTTAAATCATCGCATGAAATGATCCGTTTAGCATTTACAGATACCTTTAATAATCTTCTAATACTGCATTCGATGCGATCATTTCACAAAGAATTCTAGAGATATTTCATTGTTTCGTTAATTCCGGAATGATTCATATAGATACTTCCTGATATAAATGAAAAATTTCTTGTTATGAAATTTAATTATTAAATGTGTTATGAAAATTTCTTGTTATGAAAATTTCTTGTTATGAAATTTAATTATTAAATTATTATATTAATTCATTCCATTTAAATTATTAAATGGAATGAAATTAAACTTTCAAAGCTTTCACTCATATTAAGTGGCTTTCTCTTTATTCAAATTGGTTAATTATAGTTCATTACTCTAAAAGTATTACAAGCATTAAATGGAATTTTGAAATTCTGATATTAGTTATGATTTGCTTTAGGGAATTGTATGCTACAAAATTTAGAAGAATTTTTTGGCATTGCTTTTCCTTTTTTGCGAAGCTTCGAAAAATTGAAATTTTGAAGGAAATTGCAAATTATAACTATCTATGAATAAAATCAATTTCTTATTTGTACCTTTTCAGATCAATGCACCTTTTCGGTACTTTCCTACTGGCCAATTGCGCTGTTTTCGTGGCGCAAGTAAGTTCCCCAATGAACTGTTTCTAAGGTAAAGATTATGTCCCAATGTAACTCTTGTAGGACACCAAATACGTATGAATTTTTTCAGGCATGCATTCCATCGCAGATGAGAAACATGGAACCAGGACCGCCAGGACCGGATGGGCCTGATGGAAAAGAGGGACCTGAGGGACCGAGAGGAATAAAAGGTCCTCGAGGAGACATGGGACCAGTTGGAGAGCGAGGAGAGCGAGGGCCAAGTGGAGTGCAAGGTCAAAGAGGTCCAGAGGGACCACAAGGTATTGAAGGACCAATGGGAACAAAAGGACCAATGGGTGGTGGTGGGTAGAAACAGAGTATAAAATTTGTCGTCAATAACGAAGTAATGATGATATCATTTCTATTAGTTGCTTTTTTTGCATTAATCTATCGTTGATGTGCTCTTTCTATTATATTCATAATTCGTAAACCTAAAATCGCTGTCAATGCCTTTACGAAATTTGATTATAAATGTTGGAATATAAAATTTAAATATTTTATGGAGCAAAGCTTCGCTATATTTTAAAATCGCAATTTATCGTTGTGCTACATTTCAAAATATTTTTGATAAAATTTATTGAACCAAACATTCAGTTCGTTTTCTGAACTTAATGAAATTCTTTAAATGCTTCAAATACGTGTTTTAATGTTCGAAATTTTCTTAAGCAATATCACGTTTCCAATTCTTACCTGAAGAGCCACAAGTAAATGTACAAAATGGTCCGAAATGTTTCAATGATAAAAATTACATAATCAAATAAGATGTTCCATTATTTTTAAGCGACTAAAGATGGATAGATCATTGAAGAAGGAATTGGATAACGGTCAGTGATGTTAACTATAGGCTTATTTCAAATGAAGCACTCTGCTGAGGGTGCATTGTATGTAAGTAAAAGGAAATGTTAAATGAAATAATTGAAGTAAAGAAAGAATGCATGAAAATGAAGTAAGAAAATTAAATGAAAGGAAAACTTTAATAACGTTGAAGACTGCGTACATCGAAAAATTGAATAATTGTCAACTGATGGCAGATGTTATTTGGTCACAAGAATAAATAACAGGATCGGTTATTTGGCACCAACTCTGATTAATGAAATCACAATTGGAATAATTGAAGACTGTGACCAAATAGCTGACTAACAGAAATGATAAAAAATTGTTTAGAATAAATACATTATAAATCGATCAGAGGGTTGAAATTTTAATTATCATTCCGTCGTGTAGAAATTGGTATTATTATATTTTTATTAGCAAATAAACGAACTGATTGCATTATTGATTGAATGTAAAGAAAACGTTGTATTTAAATATTAACATTTAATATTTTTCTATTACTCAAAACTGACTCTCTCATTTTACCTTCTCTTTCGTTCTTTTTTCAGTTCAATAATTTTTGTACCTAAAATTAGTTGAACTGTTGTGAATATCAATCTTCCTTATGTGTGAATGAGTCTTTTGAACATTTAGGAAAGGCGGAAATTTCAAGCAAATGTGCAATTTCTGCCTAACTATAACAATGCTTTGCACAGTCAAAGAGAAAGAATATTTTATTTCTTCTTTCGTTTAACGTCAAAATCGATTAAATTTCGAAAAGTTTTTTATTTATAATAACGATAAAATTTTCGATATCTCCCATTAATTCCATTGCCTGTTGCTCTTATCGTCTTCCATTCATCATTCCTACACCTCCTTTCACCCCTTGTAGCCTCTCGGGCCTTTCAATCCTTGCGGTCCTTGCATCTCACTCATTCCTTTCGGAGCTGTTGGACCTTTAGGTCCTGGGTTTCCTCGATCTCCATTGTGTCCATCTATTCCCGGCGGTTCTACGGGCCTTATTGCGCCTCTCATCTGTGGACCACTTGCCTGAAAATAAAATTTGCAATATTTGGTATCTTGCGGGTTACATTGGAAGATAATTTTTTTCTTAAAACAAATCATTGAGGGGCTTACTTGAGCTACGAAAGTAACGCAGGTGACCAATATGGAAGTACCGAAAAGATGCATTGACAATCTGAAATTGGTTTTATGCACAGTAGCTAAAATTTTCCTTATTTCCTATAAAACTTTTAATTTGTCTAAATTTTGTGAGGTGCGGAAGAAAAAAATGTCAAAAGAGGTTTTAAGTCTCTTTAGAAGATCGTTTCAAAATAGAAACCTTTCGCAGATGAAACCTTTTCCTTATTTATAGCACACATTTCCTTTAAAAAATCGTAACTGTTAGGCGAAATTTAAAAATTTCATTTAAAAGTCGTAACATTTTTGAAATATGATGAATGAACTGTAATCAAATGATTAGAATATATAAATTCTATTTGAAAATGACATTGTCGGATATGTGTGAAAAGATTTTGAAATTTAAATTGGAATTTAATTCAGCAAAATTCGAAGAATAATTGTTTATATTGGAATAATTATTTATCTATAAGTCATGAAGATCGCAAGCTTGAAATCATAACCGGTGATGGAAAGAGAACTTTAAGAAAAGATGGCTATGCAAGGAAAGCATTCCCTATTGTGGGAACAATCATTAGGTATATTAGCCTGATTAAGTTTTGCCTGATGTATTTTTGGAACTTTTGATGTTGAGCTGAAACTTTTCCTAGTTTCGTATCAAAACAATTTTCAAAATTTGCCCAATTCTGAAAAATTTTGCCATTACGATGACTTCTCACACTACAATTAATTGTTCCTCACATCAGATAAAAATGAACTTGAGCTTAAGTTGAGGCTGTCAAAACAATGTAGGCCAGTGTTTAATAATTTGAGGGATTTCAGAAATTCTTGAAGAACAATTGATCCATTAATAACTGGCATCACGTGGACCCCCAAATCATTCTGCTTTTCTAAGGCGCAAAACTTGTTTTTCCATCCACCCTTTCAAATTCTCTATCAATGTTAATTTTTTATCAGTCGATTAAATTTCCTTTCCACTCATCTCAAATCATCGCAAAAGAAGATCGTTTAGTATTCATAAATACCGTCAATAATCGTTTGATGTTGCGTTTTGTTACATTCCATACAACCATTCCACAAAGAATTCTTGAAATACTTCTTTGTTCAGCAAATTCCGGAAAAATTCACATCACTCATCCAACTTTCTAATATAAATAGAATCATCTGTACAGCATTTGTAGTCCAAGTAAATTCTTTAATCAATTGTTTCTAAAAGAAAAGCTATATTTCAATGNTTGCAGATTGCATTGAAATATAGCTTTTCTTTTAGAAACAATTGATTAAAGAATTTACTTGGACTACAAATGCTGTACAGATGATTCTATTTATATTAGAAAGTTGGATGAGTGATGTGAATTTTTCCGGAATTTGCCGAACAAAGAAGTATTTCAAGAATTCTTTGTGGAATGGTTGTATGGAATGCAACAAAGCGCAACACCAAACGATTATTGACGGTATCTATGAATACTAAACGCATCTTTTTATGCGATGATTTGAAGTGAGTGGAATGAAAATTTGGTCGACTGATAAAAAATTGATGGTTGATAAAAATTTGGAGGGTTGGATGGAAAAACAAGTTTTGCGCCTTCGAGAAACAGAGTGATTTGCGGATCTGGCTGATGCCAATTATTTATAGATCAATTGTTCTTTAAGAATTTCTGAAATTCCCAAATTGTTGAAGTCTCGCTTACGTTTGTTTTGACAGCTTCAACTTAAGCTCAAGTTCATTTTTTTGATGTGAGGAACAATTGTAGTGTAAGAAATCGGGATGGGTTAATTTTTCAGAATTGGACAAATTTTCAAAATTGGTCGTGATACTAGAATAGGAAAGGTTTCCGTTGAACATCAAAAGTTTCAAAAATACATCTTAAAAACTTAATTAGGCTAACATACCTAATGATTGTTCTAACAATAGAGAATGCTCACCTTGCATAGCCATCATTTTTTGAAATTCTGTTCCACCATCAATTTCAGGTTTGCAGTCTTCATGACTTATAGATTTCATTTACAGATACCGTCTACAACATTGTATTTCACTGCGCTCCAAGCAACAAATTCACAACCAATTCTTAAAATATTTCTTTGCTCTATGAATTCCGAAAAATTCTTCGTGAAATGATCGTATCGAATGCATTATTAAAAGATTATTGACAGTATCTGTAAATGCTAAAAGGATCATTTTGTGCGGTGATTTAAAGTGAATGGAAAGAAGATTCTGTTGATTGATAGGAGATCAATGGTTGATGGATCAATCTGGGAGGATGGATGGAAGAGCAGGTTTGAAACCATCGAACAACATAAGCGATACATCATTGGTTCCGGTTATTTGCAGTTGATTTATTTTACAAGAAATTCTGAAAAACTTTGAGTTGCTCAATATTGACTTCTCTATTTGAGCAGAAGTTTATGTTCAACTTTCTGAATGTGGGAAATAACAATTCATTGCAGTATAGAGGATTGCAGTAGTAGTAGAAATTGAATTATCCATTGTCGTCCAGTAGTTAATCTAGTCTTGCTTTTGTTGTTTCTGTTACTCAGATATCCTATTTGCTTCTGTTTCGCAATCTTCAATTATTCCAATTATGATTCCATTAATGAGCCTCCCAGAGTTGGCGACAAAATGACCGGTCGTGTTATCATTCTTGTGACCAAATAACATCTGCCATCGGTTGGCAATTTTTCAATTTTCAGTTTTCAAGGCTGTTAATGTTTTGAAGAATTCATTTTCTCCTGTCATTTAATTTTCTTACTTCATTTTCATGCATTCTCTCTTTATTTCAATTAATTCACTTAACACTTCCTTCATCCGTTTGGTATTCGTCCCTTACTTACATGCAATGACTTCAATTCCTTCTCGGCAGACTGTTTCACTTAAAACAAGCCTATGGTGAACATTACTGACCGTCATCCATTCCTCCCCAATGACCCACCCTCCCATCTTTAGTCGTTTAAAAATGAATACTTCCGACAATGCAACATTTCATTCGGTTATGTAATTTTTATCATTGTCACATTTTGGACAGTTTTTATATTTGCTTATAGCTCTTCACGTAAAAATTGGAAACATGATATTGCTCAAGAAAATTTCGAACATTAAAACACTTCTTCGGATCATTTCAAGAATTTCATTAGGTTTAGAAAACGAACTGAAAGTTTGATTCGAGAAATATTATCAAAAATATTTGGAAATGTTGAATTGCGATTTGAAAACATAACAAAGTTTTGCTTTTTAAATTTTTTTAAATTTTAAATTTTTTTAAATTTTTAAATTTTGCATTCCAACATTTATAATCAAATTCCGTCAAGCATTGATAACAATTTCATGCATATGAATTTTGCAACGTAATAGAAAAACACATCAGCGATAGATTTGTACAAACAAAAGCAACCAAAATATAAGAACTGATATTGCTAATTAATAAATAACTGACATTAACTAGACTTTTGTTTCTCGAAGATTCAAAACTTATTTTTTCTCCCGGATTCTCTGTTAACTGTAGATCTTCTATCAGTCAACCGAATCTTCCCATCACTCACGAAAAAATCCGCTTAGCTCTGATAGATACCGTCAATAACCATTTAATGTTGCGCTTTTTTGCATCCACACGACCATTCAACAAAGAATTCTTGAAATGCTTCTTTGTTTTATGGATTCCGAAAAGATTATATCAGACATCCAACTTTTCAATATAAATGGAATATTTTCCTTTGAAATTCTCTCCATCAAATTTTGTTTAAGTTTTAAAATCGTTTATCAACTCTTGACTTCTTGACAGGTTTTTTTTTAAATTGCGATTAGTAAGTCACGATTTTTTTTATGAAAAGAAATTTAGATAAGAAGTAAAAATGTGAACAATTTTGGAAACAGTTGTGTTTTTTTTCAGATTTCAGTACCAATGCATCTTTTTGGAACTTTCCTTCTGGTCATCTGCGCTGTTTTCGTGATCCAAGTAAGTTCCTTAATTGATTGTTTTTAGATAAGATAAGGTGTCTTTGAAGTCTTCAAGTACGTGTAAATCTTATTTTCAGGCTTGCAGTCCATTAACAACACGTATAGGACCTCCAGGACCTCCAGGCCCTCCAGGGCGAGATGGACGAAAGGGAAGTCCAGGTGATCGAGGACAACGAGGACATGAAGGAGAGATAGGAGAAAGTGGACCAGTAGGAAAGCGTGGAATTCAAGGTCCTCCAGGCCCGCCAGGAGATGTAGGAGAGAAAGGGGAAAAAGGAAGAGTTGGAAAGCAAGGTCAGAGGGGAGCAAATGCAGGAAGATAGAAGCACCAGACCAAAAAATATATCGGAGATATTGAAATAGTGCATGCCAGTGATATCGGCTTTCTTTGTTTTGTTGTTTTGTGTACAACAACAACTTATCACATTTCGTAGGCTTAAAATTGTTCTCAATGTTTTTGCGAAATTTGCTTACAAATATTGGATTATAAAAATTGAATTTTATGAAGCAAAGTTTCGTATGTTTTCGAATCACATTTGAATACCTTTCTTTTGTGTAATCCACCTTTTTATTACTGTAAAAGGAGAAAAATTGGAAAAAAATTTCCGCCTAACTATAATGCTGTATGATGAATATGTCAGCAGCGCTGTCAGAATGACCAATGTCATCAGAATTGGAATAATTGAAGATTGGAACACAGTAAAAAAGGTAGCTAACCATTAGAAAAGGCAAAATATTTTATTTCAAAATCAGTCAAATTTCGAGTTTTGCCTCTTCAAATATTGTGATTCGAAAACATACAAATGTAAGCAAATTTTGCAAAGCACTGACAACACTTTCAGGTTACGAATGTCATGACATAATAGGGAAGGAATATCAACGATAGGTTGGTGCACACACAATAACTAAAACAAAGAAAACCGATATCACTAATGGGGATTACTTTGATGTCTCCATCAAATTCCGCTGTTTGTTGATTCTATCGCCCTGCCACTACTATGGTTCCTTGTGGTCCTCGTTGTTTTATTTCAAAATCAGTCAAATTTCGTAAAGTTTTTTCCTCTCCAAATTTGATATTAATATTGTGATTCGAAAACGTACAAATATAAGCAAATTTTACCATTGCTCAGTATTATTTGTTTTAAGATGTATATCGATTGCTTCAATTACAAACTCAATTATTTTGCTTAATAATTTTAGTATTATGGTTATTCAACCTATCTCATGAAATAAGTCAGTACTTTTTGTTTTTGCATTCATTTATAAAAGAGAGTGAGAAGATGAAAATTTGCTTTTTTGTTTGACGAAAAAATTGACTAACCTAAAAATGAGTTATTGTTACATTTATATAAAGCTTTTTATTTTCAACTTGGTTTTAGTAAATGATTGAATTAGTTAAGTATTATTAGGCAAAAGTAATTAAATTAAATAAGGAATAATTAAGTTCAAGCTTTATCGAGAGATGTGCCATTTTGATAATTGAAGGTCAATTACTACTTGTACTCTGTCTTGCTTATCAATTCCAAATGAAAATTGAATAAAAACCAAAAATGGTTGTAAACGATTGGGCGTGTTTGCCACTGGCATTACGGTATTGAATACAATTCCATCGGAACTTCTTAATCTGGCATATTTTTCAGAAAGAGAAATGGTTTCTGGCATTTCAAATTGGTCATTTTCTTTATTCTTTTTTTTCAAAAATTTATTCTAACCTATATATTTGTGGTCTAAAGATCTTAAGCACACACGTACGTACGTGTTACAAATTATACATTAGAGATAGAGAAAAAAGATTTGATCATTTTGGCGTTTAGTTGTATCATCGAAAAAATGTTGGAACAATGAAATCGCAAAATCGCAAATGTTTTATTATTATTTTGTTAATATGAAGTTGGAAGGAACCATTCGAATGCAGTAGAAAATCCACTTGAAATTTTCTTATTGACAAACATACAGGAAAGCATAAATGTTCAGGTGAAAAGTTATGTTCTCAGTGAATATTCTAATTAAGCCGATGTATTTCCCACAAATAAATTAATAAAACAAATAATTTCATCCGCGGAATTATAAATGATTATATTGCGTTGGCTTAAATTATATTACTTTTTCTTTTGTAGTACAATTTAAGCCAACACAATATGATAATTTATATAATAATTTGCACATTGCTTCTTGGATGAAAGTTAAAAGTGATTATTGAAAATAAACGGGAAATTTTGTTAACATTGTCATCTTCTCATTATTATTTATCAAAATGTTAGCTCTAAAAGTATCGGGTACAGTAATATTTCATCGAATATTTTCTCTTGCGGAAGCAATGAATTATTATTCTTTCTTTTGTAGTATAATTTGTGATAGAAAATAAACGAAAAAAATTTTCATTCCCTAAAAAGGCAGAAGGTATTGTAATTTTTTAGCTTCCTTTAACATTTTTCACATTTCAAATGATTGACATTATCGATTAAGTTTTGCTGGAAAAAGGAAAAAAAATCTTTACGAATTTTGAAATAATTTTTTGCTTTTTCTTGATAAAATTAAATTTGAAAAAAGGAAGAAATCTGAATCAAAAGGGAAGGGATAAAACGAATGATGCAAAGCTTGCATACTAAAGTAACCAACGAAATGGACAAGGGGTAAAATAGATGGTGCAAGCCATGCGTACAAAATAATAGACAAAATCGACTAGAGAGTGACAAATTGACAACTGATAGCAGACGTCGCTTATATCTGCGGCGACTCTGATGATCATCTCTTGTTAGCAATTATTGCGGATTGAATAACTCGTAGAACATCGTTAATGAAATTTCATCCAAATCAATGATCATCGTGAAACTTTATTTTTTGGATATAATTGCTTTCCATAAATGTAAAATTAAATGGCAGTTCAGAAAAAAACGTGAACAATGATAATAAATGTAAATTAGGCTGTGTTATCAGAGTGATTTGTTCCAAAAGATGATGTAATCAACAATTGCAGGTTATGAAACAAGCATATGCAGTTCATTGGTCATCTTGTTAGCAATTCTTGTGGATTAACTATGAATTAGTTGTAAAATTTTGTCGAATAAATGTTTCATCCAAAATCTTATTTAGAGGAATTTGGTCAATAAAGTACCTAAGGCCAAACGCAAAATCTATCCAACAGCCTGAGCAGCCTTATTTACAAACACCAGTTGTCATAACACTATTTTATTGCTCCCAATAGATTTTAAAATAATTTGAAGGCAATTGAAATTGTTAGGATAACAAAAGATCTCTTAGAAAAGGCAGCTGAATCCCTCTGTAGACGGAAGTTTTCAGTTAAGGAATACAATTATTTGTCCTCACACTGTGTACTGAAAACCGTTGAAGAAATTTTCACTATTCCTACCTCCCACACCACAACACATAACAAACACCCACTACCTGGATATACAAATCCAGGCAGTGGGTGTTTGTTAGAGATTAGTAAGAAAAAATTAGGTGAAATTCTTGAAGAACAAATAAGTAACCGGCAGCATTCAGATACGAAATCATCTTATCTTTCTCGATTTTTTTTCACACAATCTCTTCCTCATTCGGTATCAACTGCTAACTATATATNTAGTAAGAAAAAATTAGGTGAAATTCTTGAAGAACAAATAAGTAACCGGCAGCATTCAGATACGAAATCATCTTATCTTTCTCGATTTTTTTTCACACAATCTCTTCCTCATTCGGTATCAACTGCTAACTATATATCTGCCAAGCGAGTCTTTTTCCGTTCACTTTAAGTTATCATTTAAAAGATCCGTTTAGCTTTCATGAATACAGTCAATAATCATTTTAACGTTACATTTTGCTGTATTTTCATACGTTAGAATGTCATTAAATTCATTAAATGAAGAATTCATGAAATATTTCTTTGTTTTATAAATTCCGGAAAGATCCATATCAAAACATTCGACTTTCCAATATAAATTTAAAATTTTGTTCGAAATGCACTTTACTGATCTTTAATTTAAATCATAAATTCTTTTCTCATAGAGCCGACGATATCATAATTTTACCGTTAAAATTTCTGTATTCTTATCAGTTGATTGCCATTATTTATCTGAAGGAAATAGAGGAGCTGAAATAAAGAGATCCTTCCATCCGTGTAACATTTCTACTGGCAAGTTGTCTTCTGAGAAAATTGAATATTTAAAAAATTTAAAAATTTTCAGATTGTCGGTGTTGATGCATTTTTCACTATCCTCTTATTGGTTAGCTGTGTTTTCGCAGCCCAAGTAACTTCCGTAATATATTGTTTCTTAACAAAAAATTTATGTTTGAGGACGACTTTCGAAGTTGCAGAAATATGCAAATTAATTTTCAGGCATATGGACCATTACCATCACAAACAATAAAAGGACCACCAGGACCACCAGGATGAAGTGGAAACACATCCTTTCGGTCAAACACAAAAGAAATCAAATTAGAAAAGAAAAACGATCGACTGAAAGGGATATTTCGTTATCTGTAATAATCTCAATTGCTGAAAAATTTTCTATTTTCTTTGGTGTTCCGCAGATTTTCTATGGAAGCCACATCAGCAATCTCATCAAAACCATTTTCGTTACTTAATATTTCTGATTAGAACCATTATGATCCCAATTTCGACAAGACTAGCCTAACTTCTGGACGACAATGAATAATCCAATTTTCTAATACTACTATAATCCTCTATACTGCAATGAATTGTTATTTCCCACATTCAGAAAGTTGAACATGAGCTTCTGCTTAATTAGAGAAGTCAATAATGGGCAACTCAAAATTTTTCAGAATTTCTTATAAAATAGATCAATTGCAAATAATCGGTACTAATGATATATAAAATATGTTATTTGAAGATTTCAAACCTCTTCTTTCATCCATCCTCCCGGATTGATCCATCAACCGTTGATCTCCTACCAATTAACAGAATCTTCTTTCCGTTCACTTTAAATCATCGCATAAAAAGATCCTTTTATCATTTACAGATACCGTCAATAATCTTTTAATACTGCATTCGATGCGATATTTCACAGAGAATTCTAGAAATATTTCTTTGTTTTATAAATTCCGGAATGATTCACACCAATTATTCTATTCTCTGATATAAATAGAAAATTTCCTGTCAAAATTTATCTCATTTAATTTTTTTAAATCTTAGTTTCTCTCACATTTCTGACCACATTTTAGCTTTTCAACAAATTTTTTAAATTATTACTTTACCAATAATGTTTTGGTCATAACTTTCTGAAAGAGTGAAAGAGCCAAATAGTTCCTTCGATTATTTTCCTTTCTTTTGACTTGAGAGATGCTAATTAGTTCCTTCGACTAT